TGGCCCCTCCGTGCCACCAACCCCGTCCCCCCACCAGCGCCAGCCCGCGGGGGCGGCTTCAGCCCCCCCGCAGGGCACTGAGCCAGTCAGACCGTCGCGCCCCGTCCACGCTCCTACTGTTGCAGGCTGCGAGGCTGCGGCTCCTCCGTCCTCATGGGGCGTGGCCCCAGCGGCTTCAGCCCTGGGACCGCGCGACACCCTCCAGTCGCCTCGCCACGGCGACGGCCGCCAGCGCACGGACCGCCGCACCGCGCTGGTCCACCACCTGGCCAGGCGCACCGATGACCTCGTCCCCGCCGCGAGGCCCGCGGCCGCGGGCACAGAGCAGCCGCCCCGCACCGACCGCGAAGCCGAGCTGTCCCAGTCTATGGCCGCTCTCCAGCAGAGGTGCGCAGCTCTCGCCGCCGACCTTGCCGCTGCCCAAGCCCGTCAAGGCCCTTTGCTCCAGCGCCTCCACCGCGCCGGTCGTGCCTTCGCCGAGCTGCTTACACCCCCGCCCGATGGTGCTGCGCCGCCACTCACCCTCCATGCTATGCTGTCATCGCTCCGCGGCGCTCCGCCTGGAGCCCCGCGCTAATCTCCGCCATTCTGCCTGCCCGTGTGCACGCGTGGCCCCGCGTCCACGGTGTCAGGGCGTGGGGGCGGGGGGTGCCCCGTCCCTGCGCGCCGCGCTGCGGCCAAGCGCCCAACTGGCGGTCTGCCAAGCCGCCTAGCCACGTGTCCGCACGTCGCCTTTCTTGTTGGGGCCTTCTTCGTCACGCGGTCTGACACGTGAGATCTTCACAGTCTGTCCGCCGTCCGTAGCTTCAGACGCAATGCGCCGGGGGAGGGGGTCTCTGCCCGCCCTCGTATCCTAAGGCTGCACCGCCGCCAATAGTGTTTTGCGGGTTGTCGCACCGCAGTGCGCCTCGCGGACGGACCCTGGTCCGCCTACTTGTCCGGTCTCTCTCTCTCTCTCTCTCTCTCTCTCTCTCTCTCTCTCTCTCTCTCTCTCTCTCTCTCTCTCTCTCTCTCTCTCTCTCTCTCTCTCTCTCTCTCTCTCTCTCTCTCTCTCTCTCTCTCTCTCTCTCTCTCTCTCTCTCTCTCTCTCTCTCTCTCTCTCTCTCTCTCTCTCTCTCTATCTCTCTCTCTCTCTCTCTCTCTCTCTCTCTCTCTCTCTCTCTCTCTCTCCTCTCTCTCTCTTTTTCTCTCTCTCTCTCTCTCTCTCTCTCTCTCTCTCTCTCTCTCTCTCTCTCTCTCTCTCTCTCTCTCTCTCGTCACGGGCTCGTGAGATCAGCCAGGGTGGCTCCCCCTTGGGGCTCCCAAATGATGCCCCTGGCAGCGTTTTGTGACCATGAGGCTCTCAAGAGATACATGTTGGGGGCGCCAAACGGCAATTCTAGCTGAGACGTCCCACCAAAATCGGCGCGAACGGGCTCGTGAGATCAGCCAGGGTGGCTCCCCCTTGGGGCTCCCAAATGATGCCCCTGGCAGCGTTTTGCGACCATGAGGCTCTCAAGAGATACATGTTGGGGGCGCCAAACGGCAATTCTAGCTGAGACGTCCCACCAAAATCGGCGCGAACGGGCTCGTGAGATCAGCCAGGGTGGCTCCCCCTTGGGGCTCCCAAATGATGCCCCTGGCAGCGTTTTGTGACCATGAGGCTCTCAAGAGATACATGTTGGGGGCGCCAAACGGCAATTCTAGCTGAGACGTCCCACCAAAATCGGCGCGAACGGGCTCGTGAGATCAGCCAGGGTGGCTCCCCCTTGGGGCTCCCAAATGATGCCCCTGGCAGCGTTTTGTGACCATGAGGCTCTCAAGAGATACATGTTGGGGAGGCCAAACGGCAATTCTAGCTGAGACGTCCCACCAAAATCGGCGCGAACGGGCTCGTGAGATCAGCCAGGGTGGCTCCCCCTTGGGGCTCCCAAATGATGCCCCTGGCAGCGTTTTGTGACCATGAGGCTCTCAAGAGATACATGTTGGGGGCGCCAAACGGCAATTCTAGCTGAGACGTCCCACCAAAATCGGCGCGAACGGGCTCGTGAGATCAGCCAGGGTGGCTCCCCCTTGGGGCTCCCAAATGATGCCCCTGGCAGCGTTTTGTGACCATGAGGCTCTCAAGAGATACATGTTGGGGGGCCAAACGGCAATTCTAGCTGAGACGTCCCACCAAAATCGGCGCGAACGGGCTCGTGAGATCAGCCAGGGTGGCTCCCCCTTGGGGCTCCCAAATGATGCCCCTGGCAGCGTTTTGCGACCATGAGGCTCTCAAGAGATACATGTTGGGGGCGCCAAACGGCAATTCTAGCTGAGACGTCCCACCAAAATCGGCGCGAACGGGCTCGTGAGAACAGCCAGGGTGGCTCCCCCTTGGGGCTCCCAAATGATGCCCCTGGCAGCGTTTTGTGATCATGAGAGAGTGCGAGTGTGAGCTTAACTTATCTTATCTTATTTTGAAATCTCTTCTTATCATATCTTGTGTTATCTTATCTTATCTTGTAGTATATTATCGTGTCTTGTCTTATCTGGTGATTATCATTGGGAGGAGGGAGGCGCGAGCGGGAGGAAGAAGGAGGAGGAGGAGTGGGAGGCGTCAAAGTAATAACAAGAACCCCAATCTTTAGGATATGGGGAATAATAATGATAATAATAATAAAAACAATAATAATAATACTAATAATAATAAGGGTAATGATAATAGTAATAATAATACGAAGATCATGATAATACTAGTAGTAATAATAATAATACTAATAATAATAATCATAATAATAACCATAAAAATAATAATAAGAATAATAATAATAATGATAATAATAATAATAATAATTGTCGTCGTCATCATCATCATCGTCGTCCATCGTCGTCGGTCGTCCTCGTCCCTCGTTCGTCGTCAGTCGTCCGTCGTACGGGCGGTCGTCTGGGTTCGAAACGCGTGAGAACTCTTGGGCAGGTAGGTCGCCGCACTTGAACAAGGACGTTCGCCGCCATCCATCTGAGTCTTACGCGTTCGTGCAGTTGGAGACGGCTGATGCCATGTTTGTTGGCGCCGGAACTTGTCGAGAGCGATGTTGGTAGGGTGTGCCATGCCGTGCTCGGGCTGGACGAAAGGGGCGGCATGCGCTTCTCGGCAGCGTGGGGTTCTACCATGCTCGGTGGCCTCTTTGTGCGATCCATCTTGGTCATGCGGCGGATTCCTTTGGCGGAATTCGGTGTGAAACGCGTGAAACGCGTGGTCGGCGAGGCCACGCAGTTTGTCCACGTCTTTGGTTGCGTCAGCCTCGTCAACCCAAGCACGGTGGGCGTATTCGGTGCGGTCTCTTAGTTTTCGTTGCTCCTCCGACTGGGTGACCTGCCACGTCGAGGTTAAGCGACACAAGGAGCCCGAGGGATCGCGGAGCAGGACGAAGTCTGTGACGAATTACCTACCTCTGCTGTTGGCGAAGTCGTCATCAATGCACGTCCGACCCGTCCCAAGTGGTCTACGGTCCCAATGTTAGATCTTGTCCGCATGTGCAAGCCCATTCGTCTGGGGATTCAGTTGCGACAGTTGCCCATCCGAGGACAAGGATGCGTGACAGGAAGAAAAAGCGAGAGAGAGAGAGAGAGAGAGAGAGAGATGGAAGAGGGAAGGAGGGATGGGCAGCCCAGGTGGAAGGACGCGGACAACGGACGGCGTGGAAGACGTTACACGCATGGCCGTGGCCGGTGGTGCTGGCTCGGTGGCGAGCGAGGGCGGCTGTTTACCCCGAGGGTGGGACCACGACGACGCCCCAATGCAACGGCGAGGGCGGCGTGGCCACGGGCACGGACTGAGCGGCCGCCGCTGATGCTCGGGTCGGGCAAACGGGGGGTAGAAAAAGAAGAAGAAGAACACAAGCACATAACCATAAACTTTTGGCGCTCCGCGCGGATTTCTTGGATTCGCGCTGCACCCCCCTCCCTGGCGCGCTCCGCGCGCCAGGGGCATCGCTGGAGGCGCCGCCGGGGGGCCCAGGCGCGGATCCAAGAAACCCGCGCGAAGCGCCAAAAGTTTATGTTTATGTGTTTTTGCTCCTCTTCGAGGGGGGGGGGAATCAGAAGGGGGGGCTGGCGAATCAGCTCCACGCAGTCGGATGTCCTGGCGCCTCCTGGCGCCGAGCGCGGCCTTGCACCGAGGAATGCGCGCCCAGCGGCGGGACCGAAACCAGCTGCACACAGCAGACTGTTTGGCACCCCCCACTGCCCATGTCTGCCTGGGTCAACGAAGACGCACCGATATCGCTGACCACTCCCACGACTTCAGGACCCGCTCCAATCATCATTAGGAGAAGAAAAACCACAGAAACATAAACTGTTGGCGCTCCGCGCAGATTTCTTGCATCTGCGCTGGACCCCCCTCCCTGGCGCGCTCGGATGCGCCGCCGGGGGTGGGGGCCCAGGCGCGGATCCAAGAAATCCGCGCGGACCGCCAAAAGTTTAGATGGCGTTCTTTCTTCCTCGATCCAATCATCAAGGCGGACTAGACGTGGGACAAAAGTAGAGGGCAAACAATACACTCCCATAAGAACCACCTCGACACGCGAAGCCGTTTACTAAACGCCCCCACTGAAGGAATCGAACAGGGCAGGGCTGTTTAGTAAACGCCCAAGGCCGTTTAGTAAACGCCAATTGTCCGGTCTGGGTGGTTTTTCCTCCTCTGAAAAAGGGTAGGTACCGATACACCCCCCACTCCACGGCCCTCTCTCGGGGCGAGCTCTGACCATGGCTCCAAGGCGAGCCCAGCCATGGCGACGAGGGAAGAGCAGCCTTAAGTCGTGCCTGTCCCCCTACAGCAGGAACATTCGAAGATAAAGAAAAATAGTCTGGGGACGATGTCTTGAGTATTTGTTGATTACGTTTGGGTACGCGATGAATATTTCAAGGTTTTCGCCCAAATCCCGCCTGCAGTGGGGACATGCCCGACTTCTAAGGGTAGCGGTGTCGGTGCCTCCTCCTCCTCTGAAGGCACCCCGCGCTCGGCCGACCCGAGATGCGGGCTCCGCCCACCGAGGGGATGCGGCGGGCGCCGGCGCGCGCAGCTCATTGGCGGCGGCCCCGGCGGACGCCTCCGGCGCGGAGGGGGCGGCGCCCAGCGCGGGTTCCGCTGGCGCGGGCTCGGCCGCCCAGGCCGTCGGGACCCGCGCGGCCTGCTCCACGGCGGCGGCCTCCATCGCCGCGAGGGAGGCCGCCGCCGTGCAGCGCCCGCCGCTCGGCGACTGCGGGCGCGTGCGCGCCTGCCGGCTGGTGCTGGCCAGCGACTGCCGCAGCGCCTCGCGCTCGGCCCGGCGCACGCGCTGCAGGCGCAGGGCCTGCTGCTGCGCTACCTCGCGCGCGGCCCTCAGCGCTGGCGCCCCGGAGCTGCGGGCGCACAAGCTGTCGCTGCGCCGAACCGTCGCGTCTGCCAGGCGCTGCTCGCTGCGCTCGAGCTCGGCCCGCATCTGCTCCTCCTCCGTCTTCAGCATGGCGCTGCGGTTCTCCTCCAGGATGGAGCGCCTCAGGGACGCACTGTGGCACATCAAGCTCGACGTGTCCGCGCGGGCGGACGTGGCCCTGGCCGCACGGTCGGCTCTCGCCCTCTCTTTCCGAGCGCCCCACTCCCAGCTCTCGTCTTCGCGCTGTCGTCTGCCCTCCATCGTCGCGATGCGCTTGCTCTCGGTCTGCTGGTTCTGCTCCCGGGCTCTCTCGCGGACCTCTTCGAGGCGCTTCTGGCGGGCCTTCTCCACCTCCTGGAGCACTCTCTCCTTTTCGCACAGCCTGCGCAGGCGCACCGCCAAGTCGCTGCTCTCGCGCTCCTTGGCGCGCAGATACGCAGACTGCCTCCTGTCCTCAGCCTCCGAGGCCGCGGCCGCAAAGGACGATCGAGGGACAAGTAAGGACAAAAACAGAGCTCTCGGAGGTCCGTGCTGATTTCTGGGATCGACTCTGGACCAAGCTAAACCCCCCTCCCTGTCGCGCCCGAAAAATCCGCGCGCACCTCCAAAAACTGATGTTTATGTCATTACGGCGTTACGGTGGGGGCATTCGATAGAGAACCCTTAGGGAACGAACCCAAGATCTCGAAGCTGGTGGAACAGCAATTGAGCCTTGGCCATGGAGATCACCGCCGCACTCATCAGCTAAGGGATCCTCCAGGGTCTGGAGCCTCCTGGGCACATTCCTTTTGGAGGCGGTCGGGGGGTCTGAACTGGGACCACAGAAAATCAGTCAGGAGAGGGAAAATCAAGTCAAATCCATTCAAAATCGGTCTGTTCAAAATCGGTCCATGGACCGCTCTTGGGATCCATCTCTGGTGCATCACCACAGATCCCATTTTCATTGTTCCGGGGTCCGAAAACGGGACCCAGAGACTGAAGAAAAAACAACCTTCCAGAACCCAGAACCTCTGAAACTGCCCGCCCGTTCTGCTGGCCAGAGCCAGTGCTGGGCCACCTCAGACCCCCAGACGGCTCCCACATTCCTTCACGAACGCCCCCACCGCAGTTGTCCCCCTTGGGCAGGGACAGACCGTCCCGGCACTCCTAGGGGCCCGTCAGAACAGTCTGTGGTGTGTCTATAGGCAACCCTGAGACCCAGACCCCCGACGTCATGATTTTTTCGTCCCCCAGAAGACTGGACCGCTTCCCCGGGACAGGTTTGTGAGGGCCCCCAAAAGTCCGCGACCCCCCCCCGTCATGATTCTGTCACATCGCGAGGGGGTCTGGGGACCCGACGTTGCGACAAGAACTGCAACACCGTGAAACGTCTCGACCGGAGCTCCAGGCCCCATATCTCCTGCGTCCTTTCTCGAGCCACATATAGCTAGCTTTAGGTCGGGCATGTCCCCCTACAGGCGGATTTTGGACGACAAAATAAAAATAGCCAACAAATATGCAAAACATGTTCACAAGTAATCGAAAAGTCGTCTCATACTATTTTTCGATTATAGAGGGACAGGCCCGACGTAAGGCTAGCTGCGTGAGGCTCCTGGGGCAAGGAGCCCGGCGTGAAGCAGCTGCGACGCCAGGATCCGATGACTCTTTGGTTGCTGGCGGCGCGCACAATTGGGGTGGAGGGAGGGGGGAGGGCTTCTCCCAGACATGCGTCGTCCTCATTTTGTCCAGGACGGCGTCCCTGGAAATCCCGACCCTTTCCCCGGGTCCGGTTTTTCATGCTGAATCGTTTGTTGACGGTCCCGAGGCCCGGCGAGGCCCCCCCGAGGCCGAAAACTGGCAAAAACCTCCCGTCCTTGTTGTTTCACCACGCGATCATGTCTGGGCTTAGAAGAAGGCTGCTTCCTCGAAGGCGCGGGCCTTCCATCTATAAATAAGGCCCGCGCCTTCTAAGATGCAGGGGTGCTTCTGAGAAGCCCTGCCCCCGCCCCCCACCCCCCTCTGCGCGTGGCCGAGGTTGGCTTTTATAGGCAATTCGGACCCCCGACGTCATGCTTTTTTCGTGGCCTCGACTCCCAGGTCCCGACACCTTCCCCGGGACCGGCGTTTGATTCTGACTCGTTTTGTTAACGGCCCCGAGGCCCGGTATGGGGCAAATAATCTCCCGGCGTGATTTTTGTCACAGCACGAAGGGGTCTGGGTTCTGCGGTGGGCCTCCAGGCAAGCCGGGACGCTTCGCCACTGCTTTGATCCTCGGGACGAGGACGCGGAGCACGACGGCTGGCGCAGCAGCCTCGGGGGCGGCTCCAAGACGGGGGCGTCCCGTGTGGGGGGTGGCGCGAATCATGGCCGGCGGCATGTATGCGGCCCATGTAGAGGCCTCTTGGATGGGGTCGGAGTTGATGGGGTCGGAGGACCGCGCCACATCGGCGATACATCGATGATGTATCGCCGATGCATCGGCGATGCATCGGCCATGCACTGGCGACGACATCGATAAATCTGCGACGTCGGCGTGGAGAACATTGGACCCCACATCGAGCTGCATCGCCGAAGCATCGCCGATGTATCGGCGATGCGGCGCGATCCTCCGACCCCATCTAAGAGGCCTAGACAATGGGGGGGGGTCCGGGGACGTATTGAAATTCGACGAGGGGCCATGAAGTCTGGGGAATTATCCTGGTAATCCCCACACGTGGTGGTGACAACACCTGGCGGTACATCTCGGGCGATTCGGTGTCACCACCCGGTTTGGGGGCCGTGTGGTTTTTCGAGAAATGTCCCGAACGCTGGTGGGCCCAGGAGTTACAAAGCCCGCGGTGACCCCGTGTTCCAACACCCGGCGGTGACTTCTTGGGGATTCCAGGTCACCACCTGATATCTCACCACCTGGTCTGGGGGCTCCCAAATACTATCATGGCCCCCGTCCTGATCCCCCGGGCGAGGACGCGGAGGACGACGGCCAGCACAGCACCCTCGGGGATCTACTGACCTGGGTCCATCCAGACCCGGGCCAGTCAGGCTCTGCAACATCCTGCTTCAGATCCTGCAGGCTCTTGCAGGATCCTGCGCACAAGCCCGGGTCGATGCTGCCTGGGCTCTGCAGGATCCTGCAAGAACCGGCGCTCCCACGGACCCCCATCTCTTCCTAGACATGCGACGCCCTGATTTTGTTCAGGACGACGTCCCTGGAAGTCCTGACCCCTTCCCCAGGTCCGGTTCCTCATCCTGCATCGTGTTTTTGACGGTCCCGAGGCCCGGCGAGGGCCCCCCGAGGCCGAAAACTGGCAAAAACCTCCCGTCCCGATTTCTGTTTTGCTTTTTTGTAATATATATATATATATATATATAATTTAAATAGTACTAAATAATATACTTTTTTACAAAAAAAAAAAAACGCGATCGCGTCTGCTTAAATTCAGAGCCCCGGCAGCCCCGGGGCGGCCGCGCCGCCGCGCGCCGCCGGGCCCGGCGAGGCCGTGCGCCGCCGCCGCGCCGCCGCGCGCGCCGCCGCGCGCGCGGCGCGCGGCTCGCGAGGCGGCGGCCCGCCTCGCGAAGGGCGCGACTTTAAAACAGGGCTAGGATCGGGATAAATCGCTCCAGAGCGTTCCGGAGCGCTCTCAGAGCGTTCCGGAACGCTCTGGAGCGGCCGCGGCGCCCAATACATCCTCCAAACCCGCCGATTCTCAGAGATTTCGAGTTATCCCGATCCGATTTTGTCCCGATCTTCGCGTCGTTTTACCGCCTCTCGAGGGCGCGACTTCCCCGAGGTCCGACGCTGCAACAGAGATTCGGGCGGGCTGCTCCTGGCCGTTTGCGGCCCCCGTGGGGCGCTCGCCGGGGCCCGGGAGCGTCACGAAACAGCTCAGAGCGAAAAAACGCCCCTACGAGCCGCGTCGACCATATCCAGAAATTGGAGGTGAAATCCTGGAGCACGATGCTTTCGGGCACTTGTCAGAAAGCGCGTTCTTCAATGCTAAAAAAGCGGGGTCGGTTCTTTGACAACACCGCGTCCGAGTCAACAGGCATCCGTCAGAATCGGAGTAGCGCTGACCCCACAATCACCGAATCCAGACGTCTATGTTTGACGGGGCTTGTGGGGAAGTGGTCCGGACATCCGGGGCCCACCCGGGGACCCCTTGCCTGGGGCGCAACTGCCATCGCTCGGACGCCCGTTCCCCGTGCCACCTTGCTCGGCTTCGTGCGCTTCTATTCTTCCCCCACGAGAATCCGAGGTGCTCCTCGCTGGTCCTCGCCCAGAACCGATGCAAGTCCGAGCGGTGCCGAGGGGGAGGCCTGTCCAAAGCATCACCTAAGCGACAGCCTCCAAAGCAGCCCAGAGTGGACGGGTTCCCCCGGTGCCGTAGGCGATCCGAGGAGGGGAGGGCGAGGAGGGCGAGGAGAGGGGGAGGAGGAGGAGGAGGAGGAGGAGGAGGAGGAGGAGGAGGAGGAGGCGAGGAGGAGGAGGAGGAGGAGGAGGAGGAGGAGGAGAGGAGGAGGAGGAGGAGGAGGAGGAGGAGGAGGAGGAGGAGGAGGAGGAGGAGGAGGGAGGGAGGAGGAGGAGGAGGAGGAGGAGGAGGAGGGGAGGAGGAGGAGGAGGAGGAGAGGAGGAGGAGGAGGAGGAGGAGGAGGAGGAGGAGGGAGGGGGAGGGAGGAGGGGCTCTGGCCGTGGTCTCTCTCCTCGGGGGGCGCCCTGGCGAGGGGGACGCCCCGCCCTGAGATCCTATCGATTGTGATCGTTTTCATATTCGGCGTGTCGACATTGGGCGGAAGGGTCGGGGATGGACAGACCTCCCTTTAGTAAAACGTGGTTTAGCGAAAACGACCTCGGGCCCAAACCTAGCGGGCGCAAGCCTGGAAAATGACGGCCGCGGCGCCCTCTCGAGAACCGAAAACGGACAATTCACTAATCGACGTGTCAGGGTAGGAGGTCTGTCCAACCCCGAAAGGGGGGGGTGAAGGGGGGGAGTCTGGCTCCGGACCTCTGCTTCATGGCGACTGTTTGCGACAGGGCGTCCTGTGGGGGAGACTCCACCTGCCTGGAAACAGGCTCCAAAATCAGCCAAGATCCACTCCATGGGGGTGAAGGGGGGGTGCGAGGGCCCGCGCCGATCGGCAAAACAAAAAAAAACGACCACTTTAGAATTGTCCACAGCGGGCGTTCTCGCCCGGTTTCGGGACCCTGGGGCCCTCGCAGATCGATCTGGCTCGAAAAGCTGCCGCGGAAAAATGGTATCGAGGGCTCTGGTGGCGATCTGTTGCGG